GATGATTTCACTGTGCCATTTAATTGCAGGCATCCATTTGGACTCAATTTTGCTCTTGGTACTTCTTTGGGTATAAGTTACAGGGCTGCAAGGTCCATCACAGGGGGTGAGGGGATTGGAGTTGATAGCACTGGTTGCAATGATGCCATTGCTTAGAAATAACAAAATCATTGTTTCAATGGAAAATCATAGCCATACTCTAATTTCTTGACCCTGATAAGAGACTGGATTTAAATTCAGGTCTGAGTTCAAAGCCCATGAGTTGGACCAGTTGTTGTACAAGTATGAGATGTCTTCACGTCTGATCTCTGTCCAGCAGTGTGAGATGGCAGCTGGGTTGATAGGCATCCTCGAAGGACACAAGTGCCTGGGATGCTCAGGCTCCAATCCAGACCTGGAGGATGGCTTTGCATTATTATCCTAATCTTACACTAAAATCAAGTGTGTCTTTAGGTCTGTGTCGGGTGTGTTTATTGTTTGTTAATTTCAGTGAATCCATGCATCAATACCACCCCAAGGCACATGTTTTTTCACACGTGTAAGATTATCTCAGAAGTCATAAATTAATTGGCAGTGCTTTCGTTAGCAACATGAGCTCATGGTGCACCTTAAAATAGATAGGGTCTTAGGTTCAATGAAATGGTAAAATTGTGGCTTTAAAATATTTTACTACCTGGTATGCCTTATCATACCTCACTGCTCCCTTCTTTTCTTCTCAGTATCTTGAGTACATCGAAAGGCCAGAACACCTTCTAGGGATGTATATAGTACTTTTCTTAGATGATTTAGAAGCTATTTTTGTAACTCTTGTTTTTTGTCAAATGATGAACAACTTTTACCTACTTGTATCATTGATGAAGGAACTTAAGAATGGGAAAATTTTAGTTTAAGGTAATAAACTAAAGGTAATAGTTAATAAGCCTAGTAGTTAGTGCATGTGAAAAGCTATTGTTTCAGGAACTGCAGGTATGGCCCACCCTGACTCCAGGAAACCACAAGCGATAGACCTTTGTGCTTCAGAAGAGATCATTAGCAATCAAGGTGGTGTCTGAGCCATTGTGTTCCAGGAAGAGACAGTCCACTGCCCAGGACACAGATAATTAGGAAATTGCTGGACTGCAGCAATTTATCTGATTAACCCATTTCCTGAGTCCCAAATCCCTAACCTACACTTTTTCCCCTTGATTCCCATATGCCTTACCTACACTTTTGCCCCTCTTATAAGAAAGGGTGGCTTGAAAGGAAAGGAGGACAGTCTGTTAGGGTACAAAATAGCCAACTTCTCAGATTCCTGGCAATCTGAATAAAGCACCCATAAAGATTCAATCCCTATCTCTGCTTATTGGGTCTGGTAGGTGACAGGCAGCCCAAACATCAGTTTTTCCAGTTTCATCATTACTTGTGATAAAATTGCCAACTCTAGGTCCACTTATTTTTTTGTAAACTCACCCAAAGAAAATGACTTCTAAGTCATAAGCTGCAGGACAGTCATGGCAAAAGATCCTGAGGCCCTGGGCCCAGGAGCCCATTACATACGCAGTCATTCTGAAACTGTGCTCTGAACTTGTCTGAACAGGTGGGGCCTCCCCGCTGGGCATGACTGTCACAAAATGGCAACTTGTTCTCAGTTTTCAGAGATTCTCTTGTGTCTGTTTGGTCTCTTGAAAATTAATCATCTCAAAATAATTCTTATTTCAAGGAAGCATATTTTGGGGTGGCATGCTCTGCTCCTCTTATGGATGTACCCTAGTGGGTTTATGCATTCACCTACTGAAGAACATCCTAGTTTCTTTAAGCTTTTAGTTATAATGAATAAAACTGTTGAACATAATTGCATGCAAGTTTTTATTTGGATAGAGTTTTTCAAAGTGGTTGCATAAACACTAGAGGATTGTTGGACTATAGGGTGAGAATTGTTTGGCTTTGGGAAAAACTGCCCAGCTGTCTTTTAAAGTGGCTATGTATTTCACCATTAATAAATGAGAGTTCTAATCAACAAAACGAACAAGCAAGTAAAATATAACCAGAGACATTGAAATTAAGAACAATCTAACAGTAACCAGAGGGGAGGTGGGAGAAGATAATGGGGGGAAGGGTGGAAGGGTTTTCAGGAACAACTATAAAGGACACATGGACAAAACCAAGGGGGAGGTGGAAGCAAGGAAGGGAGGTGGGGATGGCTGGAGTGGGTGGAGTGGTGGGGGATAAATGCAGACAATTGTAATTGAACAATAATAAAGTAAATAAAAATAAATAAATGAGAGTTCCTGTAATTTCTCATCCTCCCCTAGATGATGGTGTCATTTGTTTTAGAGTTTAGCAAATCTAGTAGATTGCAGTGCTGTCTCATTGTTGCTTTTATTTGTGCTATCACATTTTAGAAGGAGGGGTCTGCCAGGGGGCATTTCAAATGTTAATGTAGATGCACAGAAACAATTTATAGAGCTGCTTAAGGCAAAGATAAGCCTTTTTACTAAAGAAGTTATAAGCTAAGTATGACTACCTACCATGACCTGCTCAATTAGGAATTTATGATCAGATCATCAAATGGCTACTTTCCATAGAACCCATTTTTGTATACACCATACATTTTCCTTGGCCAGGTATCTGATCAGATCTCTTCTGTTTTCAGTGGGGTTGGTTGTTTTATAGTCCTTTGCATATCTTGAACAGAAATCTTTTATCAGAAGTGTGTTTTGCAGAGATTTTGTCCCAGTTTGTGTCACCTCTGCTTACATTCCCTAGAGCCAAAGACAGTCTCAGCCATTCAGGGGAACCTAGGAAATGTGACCGAGTAGGGTCCACAGGAAGAAAAGGAGATGACCTGTGGTGAAGAGCAGTCTTTCCTACAGCTCCTTAACTTAATTTCTACTGATAATTCCCATTCTCCTCAGTTATGAAAGCTTAATTCTGCTAAATTGAGGGTTTCTAGGTCTGAATTTGGGGTTGTCTGTAAAGCAAGGGCACCAGAGGAAGCCTTGGGTGTTTCTTGTCCACCATATCAGCCAAGATATGTATTTTCACCCATCATGGATGGCTCCTGAGTTATCCCTGGTTCCTGCCTGATAATTACTCTCACCCTGGTACTTGGCATTTTTATGGACCCCACCTCCTCCTTACCAAACTGGGACATATGGGATAGTCTGCTTGGTTGTCTGAGGTCATTTCTTCCTAGACCTCCATATACCATCCAGCTTATTTTGAGATCTTGGAAGCTCTCTAAAATATATCTGTGAAGAGGGAATACAAATAATATCTGGGGTCTTTGGCACCCACCCCTTCATGAGATGTAGGCTACAGGGACCTCCTTACAGATATAGAGGCATCAAACTGTCGATGGGAGAGACCTGGTTCTTCTTACTGATGCATGTAAAGAATTACATATCAACAAATCTATTAGCTTGCAATTGGAGTTTATTAGTGATCTGTTCCCATGGAAGAGAACAGGTCTAGCTAGCATGAGGGTGGTGAAAGGCATAGGTTCAGGGCAAAGCAGAATGGCAAAAGTAGGGGCAGCTGAAGGCTGGGATGGCAAGCCCCCAGGTGGTCAAAGAGCCAAGAAAGCCAAGAGCCAAGGGTGTGAGTCCTTTGTTCTGAGAAATTATATAGTTGGTGGGATGGGAGTGAAAAAGTTACATATTGATTGACAGGTAAATGTGATGCCAGCTTTCCTGGGGGGTGGGAAATGTGAGTACCTAAACTTAGGTATGTGTGGGAGTCTTTTAGCCCAAATCCTTATCTTGCTCCAGACTCCACTTGTTCATCTTGTAAAATAGCAAAGTGACAGGAGGTAGTTAATTAAAGTTGGGGCAGTTACCCAAAATTACTTATCGGCTTTTTCTTTGGGCACTGTGCACCCTCTCCCACATTTCAGACCTTGGGATGAAAGCACAGTTTCAAGGCACAGTTTCTCTCCCAAGCCTTGAAACACTACACAGAATAGTGGAAATGCAACACAGAATTTTAAGGACTTCCCTCCTTCCTTGCTAACATGGAGTTTCTTGTGATGTTGGAACACCTGGCAATATTACCAGACCAGGCTCAGGACTGCTGCGTTAGTGAGACACATCTCCCTCCTTCTCCCTGCCTTGGTTTACTATTCATTCTACCTAAGTGATAAAAGGCGTTTCCTGGCAACCAGGATGCTAGATGCTGGCCAGTAACAGCAGTGCAGTCTCAGAGTTCTTCCTGTGCTATCTCCTGCCTCATAATCTCTACTTCTCCTATGAATTGGGGAAAATTGACTTTTCAGGATTGAGGGAGAGGTGGTCTTCATCAGTTCATCTGCTAACTTTATTGTTCATTTCTTAAGGTATTTCCATTTTTCACTTAGAAGTTTGACGTGGGGTATCAAAAGCCAGAGGAAATTTTTGTTTTCCTATTTCTGGTCTGAGACAGAATTCTAGCTTGAATTGGAGAGCTAGAGAATAGTGATTCAAATTTCTAAATATCACCCCACATTGACAGTTATGTTCATTTTACAGACAAAGGAACCAGGCTCAAGAAAATGATCTTGCTGGAGGATATAGAGTTCTTAAGTGTCAGAAGTGAGATATAAATCCACGGTCAGCCTGATTTCCATGTCCCTGAGCTTCACCATTAGCACATTCTGATTATACATTGTTTGGTAAACAGGCAGCCCAGTGAAATACAACACACTAAGAAAAACACACACATGCATATACATGAAAAGCTGGCACATTCCTTTCAATTTTATTGTTTTAAATATTTTTTTTTCAAAGAGCAGCCCAGTATTAAGGAGCTAAGAGCACTAAGAGAATGAAAGTGAAAACCCCCAAGGTGGGTAAGACAGGTCTGGAGGCCAAGAGGATGAAGTCCTAAGGTGTTCCTGGGCTAGTGGATTGCTTGGATGTTGAGTTCCTTGGCTGGTGGCTTTCTAGGTTAGTGATGTCTCAGCTGTGGTTTCTTGCATGGTGGCTGATTTGGCTTCTTAGTGTCTTGTGTTAGGGGTTGGACCCATAGGCTACTGGACCTGGCATTTATGCAAATAGAGCATAGTAATAAATGATGCCTAAACCGATGAGTATGGCGAATACAGCCACCCAACCAGTTCGGCCTGAGTTGATGTAAGCTTCTTCCCAATCGCTGCTCTTGTTAGCCTTCAAGGTCTGTAGGAACAGGAGCTTTAGATGTGGGTTTGAGAATTCAGTTTTGTGACCACCATTGGGGAATGGCTGGAGACCTGCTGGCACTAGGGGAACACCCCTGCCCAGGTCCCAGGATGGAAGCATATGCAAGGAGCAGGTAGAGGACAGGTTGGGTCATGACTTAGGCAATATTTTACCTGGTGACTGAAGTATAGAGCTAGTAATCCCAGGGGAAGGAAAAGAATTATGCCCAGAATGGTCAGATATATGTAATTCGGGGCATAAAATGCCAGCTCTTCAGTTGTCTGTGTAGGCTCTTCCGGCTCTTTAGCCTCCACAGGTGGGGCGGCTGGGGCGGCTGGGGCAGCAGGGTCCTTTGGGGCGGTGGGGGCAGCAGAGGTGGCAGGGGTGGTTGGGTCATCTAGGGCAGCTGGGTCGGCTGGGTCTCCCGGTTTCTGGACCATGATCTTTCTACCCAGAGACAGACCCCAGTGTCCTGAAATCAGAGAGCCAAACCCCACTATTAGCCTCCCCTTGGGATTCTAGCCAGAATCCCAAGACTCAAATCGTCAGGAGCCAGTTCTTCACAATGGAGCAACCAGCACCTAAAATCCTGATTGGCTGCCCCATAAGGGGGCGTGGCCCCACCAGTCCCCATCCTACATCAGGACATTGACTCTGCCCACCCTGCCAGGGAATGGTTGAAAGCCTCGGATCCTGGCTCCTCCTTCTTCACACACAGATAGGGTTGGAAGGCAGTATGAGGGATGGCTCCCTGGAGCAGTGGGAATGGAAATACACAAGCCCAATAAGAAAACTAGGAGATTTACAGAGGGAAGGAAAATAAATTATCAGTAGATTATAAAATATTAAATATAAAAAATAATTCTTCAGTCTATACTACCAGAAAGAACAAAGAAAGGTAAAAAAGGGAAGATCTTTCTTAAAGTACAATGTCATCTAATAAATGTGGATGGAATGAGGCAAATGGGTGCCACATGGTGGTAGGCAGAATTCTCAAATAGCTCCAAGATTTCTTATTTTTTCATTATGTTTTTTGATTATGTTATTACTGTTGTCCCAATTTTCCCCTTTTGCTTCCCTCCACCCAGACCACCCCACAAACCTCACACCATTGTCCATGTCCATGGGTCATGCATAGGTGTTCTTTGGCTACTCTATTTCCTATGCTGTACTTTACATCCTTGTGACTATTCTGTAACTACCAATTTGTACTTCTTAATCCCTTCACCTTTTTCACCCATCCCCTTGACTACCTCCCACCTAGTAAGCATCAAAGTATTCTCTGTATCTATGATTCTGTTTCTGTTCTGCTTGTTTATTTTGATTTATAGATTCCATTGTTGGTAGATATGTATATATTGCCATTTTATTGTTCCTATTTTTGATATTTTCCAAGAAGACCCTTTAACATTTTATATAATGCTGGTATGGTGGTGATGTACTCTTTTACCTTTTTCTTGTCTAGTAAGCTCTTTATCTGTCCTTCAATTCTAAATAATAGCCTTGCTGGATGATGTAATCTTGGTTTAGATCCTTTCTTTTCATGAATTTAATAATTTTTTTCCACTTCCTTCTAGTCTGCAAAGTTTCTCTTGAGAAATCAGCCAGCAATCTTATGGGGACTCCCCTGTAGGTAACTAACTTCTTTTTCTTGCTGATTTTAAGATTCTCTCTTTATCTTTAATCTTTGACATTTTAATCATGATGTGTCTTGGAGTGGGCCTCTTTACATCCATCTTGTTTTGGACTTTCTGCACTTCCTGGACTTGCATGTCTATTTTTTAAATCAAATTGAGTATGTTTTCTGCCATTATTTTTTCAAATAGATTTCCAGTTTCTTGTTTTCAGTCTTCTCCTGTTGGCACCCCTTTGAAACAAATGTTGGTATTCTTGAAGTTGTCCTAGAGGCTTCTTACACTATCTTCATTTTTTTGGATTCTTTTTTCTTCTTGCTGTTCTGATAGGGTGTTTTGTGCTTTCTTATATTCCAAATCACTGATTTAATTTTCAGCTTCCTCCATTCTACTGCTGATTCCTGTAAATCAACAGTTCCCAACATTTTTGACACTCAGGTGGGGGGTGGGGTCAGGAGGTAGAACTTAGGTGAGCATCACTTGCTGGCCTCTGCCCACCTCCTGCTGTGGACTAGATGGTGGGCAAGAGAGGGAAGAGACAGGAGGCAGAACTCAGGCAAACTTCTCTTGCTCTGGGATCCTAAAAGGCCCTGCAGGGTATGGGCTGCTTCCCATCTGCAGCCTGGGGGTTGGGGAACCCTGCTGTAAATTGTTATTTATTTTAATTCATTTGTTTTTCATTTCTGACTGGTTCTTCTTTATGGTTTCCATGCCCTTTTTTAATGCTATTGACATCCTCACTAAGTTCCTTGAACATTCTTATAACCAACGTTTTGAACTCTGTGTCTAGTAGCATGCTTGTCTCTCTTTTGTTTAGTTCTTTTTCTGGAGCTTTGTTCTGTTCTTTCATTTGGGACATGTTGCTTTGTCTTCCCACTTTGGCAGCACTTTGTGTTTGTTTCTGTGTATTAGGTGGTGCTGCTAAATTTCACAGACTTGGTAGAGTGGCCTAATGTAATAGATGTCCTATAGGGTTGAGTAGCACAGCTTCCCCTATTACCCAAGCTAGGTACTTGAGTGCACCCATTGTTTGGGCTGTGTACACCCTCCTCTTGTAGTTTAGCTTTAATTGCTGTTGGCACATTCAAGGTCAACCATAACCTCTGTTCTGTCTGGGGTCACACAGTGTAAGCTACAAGCAATCTGCAGATGGATGCTACTTGTGCTGGGTTTGGAGGTGAAATCAAACCATTAACCAAAGTGAGCTACTGCTATTGTGGGTCCTGGAGCAACTTAGAGAAAGGCACAGGGCTCACTGATTCCTGATGTTTCTTGTATGAGATAATATAGGAAAATCTGAAGCATGGGCCAAGCAAGACAAACCATTTGTATGGAAAAACCACTGAAAACAGTTTGGATGGATCCTAAAGTTGGGTGAGGCAGAGCCTTAGGGCATCACTAAGATGGGGTAAACAGTGAATCAGGATGATGGAGTCTCAGACATGGAGCCTGCCTGCCAGATCTGTGGCTCTGGGTGGCCATCCCTAGAAAAGGAAAAATGGCCTTTGCCAGCACTTCTGTTTTGGAGAAAGCTACCTACCAGCTCTTGCCCTGATGTGGACAATTTACTTCCTCCTGGTATGTCTCTGATGCCTTTCAATCTGCTGTCCTGTATGTAGTTCAGAGGGAGTGAGTGAATAAGTCTGTGCAGACCTTTTGAGAGAAACTGTCAGAGAGTCCAGCAGTTTCTGTCTTCCACAGTCTCAGTCCCTGGTTGTTTTAACATCCAGAAGTTATAGTGACTTATCTTTATGGCACTGGAACCCTGGTTTGGGGGACCTGCATTGGGCTGGAACCAAAGCTTTGCTCCTTAGATTTCTCTCCTTGCTTTTATCTTCCACACATGGATGTGGGAGCAGCATGCTCTACATCTCTGCCCTTTCTACCAGTCTCGATGTGGTTTCTTCTTTAATTCTGTATTTGTAGGACTTCCATTCAGCTTGATTTCTGACAGTTCGGAATCATGATTATTCTGTAATAATTTAGTTGTAATACTGATTTGGTTGTGTGAGGAGGCAAACTGTATTCTATGCTACCATCTTGACCCATTAATTCAATAGCTCCAAGATCTCTTCTCCTTGGTACACACAATTTCTTCCAGTTATTCATTTAAGTAATAATCTGTATGTTGTGAAGGAATTTCATTAAGGTTCTCAATCAGTTAATGTTAAAAAAGGGAGAATATCCTCAGTGGGCCTAACAAAATCAGGGGAGTTGTTAAAAGGGAGTGGGGTCTTACTGGCAAGGATTTAAAGCATGAGATGGATTGTAGGGAAGGGCTATTCTCCATCACTGGCTTGAAGATAAAGGGAGCCATGTGGCAAGGAATAATGCATCCCCTACCTGAGAGTGACTCCTTGTGGACAGTAAGGCAATGGGACATTAATTCTACAACAATGAAGATCTGAACCCTGCCATAACCTTATTTATTTGGAAGAGGATCCTTACTCCAATTGAGAATACAGGCTGGCCAACACCTTGGTTTTAGCCTTGAGATTCTGAGCACAGAACCCAGCCACTATGACCTAAAGAATTGTGAGTAAATAACTAAGTTTGTGAGAATTTGTTATGCATCATTAGAAAACTAAGAAATATTTCAAACACCAATTAGCATCAATGGATGCTAATACTCCTGGATTTTAGATGACATGTTCCTAATGGAAGTTTTAGGGGAATGGAAGTTATAAGGGACAAATTTGCACAGAGTTGTAGGTAGATAGGAGGTAACACAAAGAAGTCCACAAATATAGATTCCAACATGGTTTGTCAAAGATACAATTGTATTTAAGCAAGGTGTAAGGAAAATGAAGTCAGTCACGCTCCCTCACCCGGATGTCCAGGCAACTGTGACTTAGCAGTGTTCATATAATCTCGAGTATGGGCCCACATGTGCAGAATCAGGCTCTGTTATATAATAGTTTGGCATCCTGCTGGCTTTGTGTGCATTTAATGTATAAGAGAGTTGGGGCTTCCCACAGCACAACTCGCAGCTTGTGATGCATGTGGATTGCCCCACCCCGGAATAAAGGCATCTCACCAATCTCCATGAATTTTCCTCTGTGTGCCTGAATCCTGTGTGAACCTGCCTAGCCTTGAATGGCTGCAAGACAATAGGTGTAGGTGGCAGGATTTGTTGAAGTATGGTATACAGCCATTGGCACCCATGGAGAGGGGCTTGGAGAGGTAGGTGGCCTGCCACTGGCATATGGTATCCAGGGGCAAGTCTCCTTGCAGCTTGGGCTCCTCCCCAGGACTGGACCAATGTTAGTGGCACCCCTGACCCAGTGGAGAGGGCTCTGTAGATGGTAGAGGAGACCCTGAAGAAGCTGAGTGCCTGGGTGACCACGGGAGACATGCATTGGGTGTTTCTTTCAGTTTTGTGAGCTGAGCAGAAGACTGCACTTTGTAATGCAGTGAAGTAATGAGAATTCTGAGGAAGGGAGGGAGTCTTGGAAGCTTGGATCCACTCCCTGTAGGAACAACTCTGAACAGCAGGACTGCAGTGATTCCCCCTTCCTTGGTAGTAGTAGATGAGTTGGAGGAGGGAGAAGAGGAACCGAGTTCCCTGCTGGCTCATCCAGTAGTGATACAGAAGATGAAGTCACAGCAGCTCGTGGTGTCTTGGGGTAATCTGGCTTGCCCCTGCCAGATTATTGAGCACATGACCTATTGCCCCTATAACTCCTATACTCAGGCAAAACTAGTAGATCTGGGGAAGCAGTTTTAGCAATAGGCCAGGAAGCCCTTGGCAGCATGGCTCCTCTGCCTTTGGAATTTAGGGGTAGATAGTATTATGTGGACTGATA